GATGTCGGCGCCGATGCCGACGAACACGTCGACGATATGCTCTCATTATTGTCGGTATAACCACTGGTTTCCCTAATGCTGTCAAATGGTTCCTTCAATTATAACAAAATCAAAATACAGTTAACACAAAAAAATGTTGCAAATAAATTCTCATACAAAAACATACTCTCGTTCTTCGATTGGTGTTACTGTCGATATCAAAGGAAGAAATGCCCACTTCTTCGGGATCTATTAAGTGATACAAAAATTAATCAATTAATATAAATGACATTTTGAGAAATGTGCGAATGAGTGCTCACATGGAGTGAAGAATAGGAAGAGCGTAAAGCCGGCAATACTAATGAAAATGGCCGGCGCTATGAAACTGAGGCCCCAATTGTATTCAACGAAATAACCGGCGATAACAGCGCCCAAAATGTTGCCCACATTTGTGTGCGAATTCCAAATGCCAAATATGAGCCCTCGGGAGCCCTTTCCAAACCAATTGCCCACCGATGAGACCACTGCCGGCCAACCCGTTGTCTGAAGAGCACCTGTGCCCACACAAATTGACTATTAATTCAAGAAAGCAATCCAATTGTAAGAGTGTTTACCGCATATGATTTGAATAAATATAAAATAGTAGAAGGAATGGATGTCGTAGTAGAAGGCAATGCCAAAGGCATACGTGAAGAGTCCACTCAATAACATTCCCAGTGATAGGAAATATCGCAAATGACATCTTTCGGCCACAAATCCCGAGAAAAACATAAATATGGCGTAAGAGAAGAGGAAACTCGAGTCCAGAAGACCTGCTCATCATAATTGGCAATAAAAGTTGTGTTAAATTCATTAATCTCTTATTTTTTATATGTTATTTGTTTTTGCATTTTGTTTAAAATTCTGTTAATTCTTTCAAATAGTGTTGTGAATATTGTAAGAGATATTCAAAAAGTCATTATTAATATATTTTGAGCACTAAATTAATTATATAACAAATATTTTGCAATTCATTACAGCACTGCAAATGATAATAAAATCGGGCAATAGATAGTTATGAAATTGTAATGCAGTGCAAGTGGCAAAACCCCTCATAGTTTTAAGTTTTTTGTACCATTGGAAGCATAATATGATAGTAATTCTCAGATTAGGTATTATAACCCAATTAACAAATTTTAAAATTCATTAATAATTGCCTTTAAGTCTACAATTTTGTCAATTCTTTGCTGTAAAACAGCGACTAATCGACAAATATTTGTGATAAAAAAATTGATAATAAATTATTTTTATTAGTCTAAAGATTATTTCCTGTAATCGCAAACAGAATTGATAACAAGAATAACAGAATTGCGATAATCGTTGTTATAGTGAACACCAAATAACCCGTTGTTTGCGGAAATATAGATAACCGAGAGGTCAGGCGAGTCAACCGGTGGTGTGTGTTGTGGGCATTGCTTGTAATAATCATTTCCTATTGGCTGTCAGTTTAGTAAATAACATGAGATCAGTTGATGACAATCACAGACAACAACACTTCACTACTAATTGAAAAGCAGAGAAAACATATAAACATGTTATCTTTGGATAACACATTGATTTAAAAACTTGGCCTAACTTTTGGTTAATTTAGTCAGTAATTTGTTCGTTCATTTCTATCCGCAAATCTAATCATAAAAATCAGATTTAAGTTTAAATAAATGTTTCGATTCATTATAAAACAGTAAAATTATCGCAAAGGATTTGATTTGAGCTCTTCATAGGGTAATCACGTGTAAAATACAACATTTAATTAAATGTAAAGCATATAAATCTTTCTAAACTTTTTAAAACTAATTTTTCTATAAATCTTATTTTTAAAGTACCAATAATTTTTTGCAAAAAATGATTAGAGTTAACAAAAGCCATAGAACTCAAAGACATTGTCAACAAATAAAAATCTCGATTCTTATCAAATCACTACTAAATAAATATAAATGGAATCAATTTTTTATACAGAAAACTATTCGTATAATACATGTTATAAACGACAAAAACAATTACCGGTAAGACTCGGGACTGTCTACACTCACATCACATCCGGACAAGTACTACAAACGCCTACCAAATAACAGCAATAAAACTCTAGTTTAATAATCGGATGTATTAATTGAGAAAACCCAATGTTTATCAAACAATGTCAAAATATCGTTACGTAAAACTGGATACTACTATAATACTCATCTCTCGTATTACACAAACAATTTTCACCACATTTTTTAATGAGTTAATAAAATATGATACATTTATTATAATAATCAATAAAAAGCACTCATCAAATGGAAATTCATAGCGTTTTTATCGGTCATTAAAAAAGTGCTATTATTTTCAAGGATTTGATCCGATTATTGTAATCAATAGTAGAGTATATTAAACGTTAAACAATACTATTTATATATTGAAAATCAATACCGAGTCACTAAAAAGAGTGATTAGATTGTCATTAGTCTCAAAATCATCACTTCATTACACAAACAAATAGCACTCATATTTCAATACTTTTATAGTATTTTTTACACACATTTTAATACAGAATAGTATTTATTTGTTTAAAACGCAAATGAGTTTATCGTTATGTCTTAAGTGTATAACAATGAGCTGATAATTATCATTCAACACAATGCCTGTCGCCATATGAATATTCATGGTATGTGGGCTACACGTGATTATATCATGGTCACTGTTAAAGTGATCAAGGTGCGAACAATATATGAGGGAACAGTAATTAATTGTTGGCTCCCTTTAACAGAGAGAAATATTTTCAGATAATCAAATACCCTTTAAATTCAATGCTCACCACCAACTGATCCCCTCTAAGAACTCTCTAAACATTGTCGTATACTTTGCATACATTCATGAAAGCATATTAAAAACATAGACCGGTATTAAATGAACACAAATATAGGGACAACACCAGGTCAGACACCGAGTGGTAACTGTATTGTCGTACCTAATAGTGTGTTGGCATCGGTTCCGTTGAATGGCTGCCAATCACACCAATTGTTCTGGGTAGTGTTGGTGAGGATCACGTCCGGCGGGATCACCATTTGGGAACAGTTACGGCTCAACACATTCTTCACGACACTCAGGGGTCGTCGCGAGAGATGGTATGCCGTATAGGAGAAGAACGTGAGGACCAGAACGAGGACCCGATAGTGGGACAGTTGGAGGCGTCGGTGGAGACCAAACACTCGGATACCGATCGGTAGACCGATATTGTTGGTCGTCGGGGCGGTTGTCGACGGCATGGCTTCGGCTTGTCTTCGGCCGCGGATGTGATGCTTGTCTCGCGAATGGCAGTGATATGACTCACACTCTGGTTGTCAATCGTTTATCTTAAGGCCATGTCTTCGGCGGGGAAACCAATGGATACAACACTTTGTTCACAACACGACTGAATGTTTGGTGACTTTGAGATGTGTTTCGACAACTGTTTGAACGCAAACTATATCTCAATATTTGATGATTTGTTTGAATAACACTTCAATCCTTACTTTCAATACATTTTTTACATCACATATACTGTGAGTGATCTCATACTCAAGGGTTCGATACTTACTCACTGTTGGACTATAATGTGGGGAACTTTGTCACACATTCCTGGGAAACATTGTCAATATATTGATCAACAAAATGGGAATATAATCTAATAAATTAATTAATAAACAGATTAAACATGATTAGAGATATTTACTATATCGAGGTTTATTAATAATAATAGAAAACGTGGTAATATTGCATAGAAAACACTAGAATTGTATAGCATTTAAATGTGGGGAATATATAGCGTAGAGAACGAGCGCTAACTGTATGTGAGATAATCAATGCAATCAATGGCGCCAAACATGTGAACGGTTTGAGTGTTTATGGAAACCAAGTGTTAGTGTTTGGGAACCGCGAACTCCAGACATGTCAACAAACGTGCCGTACGTTATCATTATATGATTAACCATTGATTCTCTAACGACACGTGTGTTATGCTTAACAACAGGTCCGACGGTTTGGTGACAATGGATGTGGTGTTGAGACGAAGACGTTTGTTGACTGAATCGCGACATTCGCTCATTTGGTCCGCTGTTAACGTGTTCTTCGCCTCAATACTGGCCATCGATTTGTAAGCATTTGATTGATATATCATATGCGCAACGATTGTCTTGTAATCTAATTGATCCGCTCTATTGTTGCAGTAAATTATCATTTATAGCGAGTTTTTTCGCAACAAATCTTATCATATATTTGGTCTACTCTTTGGGTCCGTTTGTCTATTGATTTGATCCAATTGTTTGTTTCATTAATCAATGCTTTTGTGTCTGATATAATAGATCTCATCATTGGTTTTGTATTACTTCTGAACTGTTTATACGATTTGTGTCTTTGGTTTTGGAGGAATTATTTTATGGCAGAAATTGAGTTAAACTCACAGCAAATGAAAGCGTTTGGCGTCAAAGACAATGAGTTTGGTTTCAAACAATGCAAACCAACGGTTGAACCGCCGGTCGATCCGATCGTCCGCTCGCCGAACCCTATCTTCGAGATGAGCGCCGCATCCGATTTGGACAAACATTTGTCACTTAATTCCACACAATTATCCGAAGGTCTGAATTGGACTCAATTAGACTCATCGTTGGACACGACGTCTCACTCGTGGCAGTTCCACGCCGGTCAGTCTCCGGACAAAAGTCTTAACGCTAGCAACGGTTCCAGCAGTGGCTTTGTTCGGCTGCGGCGGTCCACTAATAAGGCCAATACTAACGAATCGTTTGTGACAAATGAACGCGAATTGGGTCTCTATCTGAAAGACTTTGAACAGCGAGAACTAAGACTCGAAGAGTTGACCGAATTGGACAAACGGCGGCAAAACACAAGCGCCGCCTCCGGTTGGGCACATACTTTGCCGCCGGCGGTGGACGACAGCAACCAAAACGCCTATCAATTTGCCATCGAATCGCCTCTTCGTCTCAATAGCTCTGACTTTGATTCCATCAACAGTTCGCCCACTTCTTCGAAGGCCATGGATTTGGTTATTATTATTTTAGATTTAGATTTTAAAACATTTTTAATTTTGTTTATAATTTATAATTAAGTTCTTAACGAAACTGAAAATCGACGAAATTGTTATGAATCAGTGGATTGAAAACATACGCAAATGGATCAGTTTAACTATTCTTTGCCGTGTTGTCGACCAAATGGACAAAATTAATGACTCGCTCGTTAAGAGTGGACACTTGGAAGCAGTCATCGGCGGTACGTTCACGTGTTTAGTCTCATAAGTTTGTATTTACTCTAAAATTGTAATTATATTTATGTAACAGAAGCTAGTCTTCAGTCACTCAAACAAATTGTTGCCTTAAAAAAGCCACAGTTTTCTAGTTTGGAGGCATTCTTGCCATTCCTTGAGCTCTCATCTAATCAACAATATTTGGTCCAAAGAATTAGAGGTTTTTTGATTTTTCTTTAAACCATTTTATTTCACTAATGATTATTTGTTTTGTGTTCAGAGCTATCAAAGGGCGGATCAATTGGCAAATTTCAATGGAATTCTGGCGGCAATTATAACCTAAAGCCGTGGACCGACGAATTGGTCACTGATTCTGCGGTATTTGTCTTAATTTATTACTTATATTTGATTGAACTTTAATTACAATATTAATCACAATCAATATCATTATTGTTAATATTGATTTTACAGATAATAATGCACTTATTTTGCACTTATATGGATATGCGTTTGCCGTCCAATCCCAACAGTCCCGACGGGAAAGCGTTCACTAATTTATATTATAAATCCCTCTCAGGTTTGCCATCAAAATATACTCAAACATGTATTTAAGATATAGTTAACCAATGATTACGTTTCTCACTGTAGGACCGGTACCCAAGAGTCCGATCCATATATTTGAAGCCAAAGCCAATGCACCGCATTATAAACTACACACTAAGGAGGAGGTGTGGGAACTGCCCATCGGTCGCAACAATTTATTTCACGCGATTTTGGCATTTATTCATTGCGTTAAAAGCGAACAATTGGGATATTTAGGGTAAGTGTTGGCCTATAATCGCACACTCAATGAATTATTTTAATTATTATTACCTGTGCTCTGGACTCTCTCACACCCCATCACTCCATTCCCGCCCATAATTTACAGTTAAACTGTACTCTCAATGCTTCAGTCATTTACTGCTACTTTAATTGTGGCTTTAATTATAACTAAACATTAATTTTTATGTAATTAATGGCCGATTATCTCCCCTTTTTGAACAGACGGATCAATTTGGGCTCTTCTGGAATCAATATCTTATGGGTTATCGAATAACAAGAGATTAGACATTAATTTTGACTGAAAAATATTATGTTTTTAACGACAATATGAAAAATAAATTTTAAATCAATAAAAATATTGACTTTCAGACACACTATCAAAAGAGATGTGTTTTCATTGAATTTCGTTTTTTTTCTCACAACAAAATTGTTATTTTTTATATCAAGAAATCATTAAATGCTGTATATCATTTTATGATTATTTGATATGAAAAAGCACTGAATAAGTGTGTGTTTCTGTCGTATATTATAAATTTACTAAAAATCTAATGACTTTCAGTCCATATATAACTCGATATATAATTTTCTCACTTATAATGTCATACCTATTACGATAGGAATGAGAGCAGAACTGAATGCTAGACACGGCTATAATTATTTTATCTTAAGCTCTAAAGAATGCCATTTCTATATAATGTACTGAATATTATTTTTTTAGGAAAAAACAAATACTTTTATTATAAATAATGTCATTATTTAGTGGTTTTTCTAATTTATAAATGATTTATCAATACATATACAGTATATATGAGAAAACTAGTTATGAATTGATTTTCCAAATGAATTGTTTTGAAAGAGAGATGAAGAAGAGATGAATGACACGACACCACACAATACAAGAGTGTTATATTTATAGATTAGTTTCCGCCACTGGATCTACTCCTCTGCCGATACGACCCATATTGTGTGTCAATCCATTGGGGTATCCGTTGACGGTAGCGCCCATTGCCGACGATCGGCCCAATAGATCCACTTCTCTTCCGTCGTATGAATCCAAGCGATTGATAAGCATTTTGGCGTTTGACTGACGGCTCAACTCATTGGCAAATAATCTCCAATTATTGCTTTCATTAATATCCTCTTCGAGATCGGAAAGCCTAGAGTCGGTGTCGTCGTTGTATACGGTGTTTGGCCGATGCGGTGCCGGCAATACAGTGAGACCACCGCTACCAGGAATGCCGTCAATCATGTGCTGGCCATCCGTATGGTGTTTGACATTAGTCTTGTCCAACCCATTGGGTCCTATTGTATATACATTTCCATTTAAAGTATTGGTGCCAGAGATGGGTATTGAACTGATTTTGCCGTCTTTCAAGTCCCGATAACTGGGATATCTATGCTTGAGCTGCACCGGTAGCCTCTTATTCTCGGCCTCCTCTATAGTGTTAGGCAATGGCTTACGATAACAGGTCGGCAACAGTAGTGATAGACCGCCGGCCACTACTGATAGAGAACCGCATAAACCAATGGGAATAAATGGTGCGATAAGTTGTGCCTATTTTTAAACACAAATTCATTAATATTGTTAACGAATAATTGTTTTGTGGGCTAATTGTGAGAGAATAGTTTACCAGAACCAGTAGGTGAGGTGCAGCCATTTGTCCAATTTTGCTCCAGCTAAAACACGCCGCCAGACCTACACATCTAATTTTAAAAATAATTGTTTATAAATAATGGAAAAATTGTTTGTCTAAAATACGGATCAAATATAAAATACTATACATTTAATTGTAATTATATTCAATTTAGAGATGATATGCAAGCAAATCAATTTAAAATAATGTAGCATGTTTAAACACTATTGATTGAATAATGTAATTATTACACGGGTTTAATCATTAAGAAAATGACAGACAAATGGCATAATGTGTTTGGCCTAATGAAGCAAATTGTTTTGATTTCAATTTACGATATTTACAAAAATGGCATTAAATTTAATTTCACGAATTAATCTGTATTTTAGTCTCGGGTTCATTGAAATGTAACACAAAAGTACAGGAAAACAATAGTTAATAGTATTGTGTGTTTGGAAAGTGTTAGTGAATTGGTATCCAAATTACTACTCGAAACACATGATTGAATGCGAATTCGTGTCGATTTTAAGCACTAATTATATGCAATAAAAGTCACTTAATTTGTTCCACACTTTCGGCTATAACTCTATTTATAGATAACTATTTATTATTTGGTTAATGTTTTTTGGGCGCCGAATACTTAATTAGATACTAAATTGAAAATTTTGTTAAAACTTAATTAACATTTAGGATATTCAGCGGTGGTGTTAACTTTATTTTATGCATCATATAGTTTATTGAATTATAAGTATTATTGATATGAATTGATTACTGTATTTAAATTAAATGAATACCTGATTCCTGTGGGCATTGTCTTCGCCGCGTGAAACCACGTGAGGGCCGGCAGACAGATGGCCAAAGTTCTGGCCATTAATATTAAACTCGATGGCAATAATAAGAGACGAAAGTCAAAGTCTTGCGGAACTGTTGGATAAAATAATTATTATAAACAATGCATTTATTATTATCCTAAACGATAATATTTGTATCGCTGATTGCATAATTGTAATTTTAACTCTATTAACATACAAATATGTATACAAATTGTAAAACTTAATTACTATTTAAATATATTAGGTGTTAATTAAAATTTTAGATAATTTTTTATTACATTGTTTTTTATTAAGTTTACTTCTAATTAGAATTTCCTATAAATAAAATACAATGATTTGTCTCACCGTTTGTGTCGTAAGTCTTGGGAAGTATCTCTTGGAGTGTAATCGATGTCATTAACATTAGTCCCGATATTATGAACACAAACGCCTGTATAAAACGGGGCCCTATTCTGCAAATATTCAGACCAAAAGTCATTAAATTTTTATTAATCTTTTTATAACAATTTGCTATTCTCTTGATATTCATATTTGATTGATCGTTATATACTTGTATATCATTTACATTCATACACATAAAACACACAATAAAGAAAATACATTACATTATAAAGAAAATATTGCATTTGAATGTATAAAAAAGTATCTATAAATAATAATGAGACAGTTATGAAATTCCCATTGAGTTAGTGATCCAAATATCATTTAATATGTATTAAATCGAGATTAGGAGCTGATATGCCATAAAATATGTGATATTGGTGTTGCACTAAAGGAAGATTAATCGCTTCTTTAGTTGTAATACTGTTTATAATTTGTTAACTATTTTTGATTTCGTGTTTTATTTGTCAAAATTGACAATTTCTTATACAGTATATCCAAAACTGGGAATATATCACACAAGTGATGATTTCACCTCGTTTTCACATCCAAACGCTCACTAGATATTTAATTTTATTGAAATTATAGTTTTTAAATCCTTGATTACAGTCTATTAGTTTACGGATCATTGCCTACCATTGCTGTCAATATATAAGCAAATCATCCCTAAAATATTCAATGAGCCGTAGAGTTGGCATAAACTCAACAAAATTTTTAATAATAAATTTTGTTAATATTTTTTACAATATGTGAGGATATGATTAAAATTGTACAAAACTATTGTACTTTTTTTTAACAAGTATTGTATTGTTAATACAGTGTTAATTACATTGAAGTTATGTTAACTATTGTTACGATTGTAAGGCAAAAATGTTTTTGACAAAAATCTAATCCAATTTCAAAGGAAATAACGGTCTAAGAGAGAGGAAACACTAGAAAAGCGTTTCAACAAATCGTTATAATATATCTGATAATGAAATGAAAGGACAATGAAATACACACTCAATGCCTATTATTATAACCCTATTATAATGAGGGGATAAATAACACGATAAGTTGTGGCCCACAAGTAGTCTGTAATGAAACGGTTGAGCCGTGACTATAAAACATAATTATGGTTATAATTACCGCACAGCGAAGTGGTAGAGCAACATAACGGCCCCCAAATCCATGAGCGCGTGGTAAAAGTGATGGGCGTAACGGTTCTCATTGAGTCGTATGGTCTGCGGTTCGGTCACCTGAGCGGTCAGTGCGACCACAAAAAACAGGTAGAAGTGGACAAACATATGCCACCGAAGGCCGGGCGACGAGAACTTTGGCAGAATCCGGTGCCGAAGCGATTGACACACCGATGAACTCTTCACACAACTCAATAGATTCTGCAAATGGAGCCGAAAACTGGGCGACACGTGTTTGCCGTTGTGTTGGGCCAGCCTTTCGATGAGATTCTCGGCGGTGTGGAGCCGGCCCTCGACTACTAGCCATAGCGGCGATTGCGGCAAAAGCCAGATGTAGGTGAAGAAGGCTATGCACGGCACAGAGATGGCTAACTGCACGTATCGCCAGTTCCGTATTGACCACATCAATAGCGGCACCAATAGTACGGCTGTCATCGAGAAACAGGTCCAATACAAAGATGCCCTTAACTGATAGGGAGTGGCGAATAACTCCAACAACAGTACAAATGCCGTTATTTGCATACCCTGTCCATTTAATTAATATAACAATTTAGTTAATAATCATATAATTTAAACTTAAAATTAAATATTATTTAAAATAATAAATAAAATAATAATTTTTTTAATTTTTTATTAAAATAATTTCACATTTCAGTTAATTTGATATTTTTAGAATTTTGCTAACTTTTTATTAAACATAATAGTAGTTTTTTAACGCAATTATTATTTTTCAATTAATACTACAATTTAACTAAAAATACTCATCAATTATTTGGTAGACTTACTCTTCAAAATAGATTAAACAAACAATATTTTTGTTTAAATAACTAAAATATCAAATGATTTACTAAATTGAGTGCTAATACTGTTAATTAGTTTGTAGTCTATTAAACATCTATTAAATATTTAAACTATTTTAAGTAATTGAAACAAATAAATATAAAAACAATTACCGCCGCAAAGAATGCTTGCAATGAATATAATATCGAGAATTGAAGAAAATCAGTGACGAAATGGAGGGAAACGGCGGCCGAAACGAAGAGATATAACGATACCAACAAAGTGTTGCGTCGACCGCACCGGTCGGCGATCATACCGAATATGACGGCACCGAGAATGGCAGCGACCATGCTCAAATGAAACAACGATGATAGCAAGTACTTGCGCTCACACACCAGGTCATATTCAATCACCAAATTATGCTCGTTCTCGGGCGCCCTGTTAACTCTTCGAGTCTTAGTTCTCGCTGTTCAAAGTCTTTCAGATAGAGACCCAATTCGCGTTCATTTGTCACAAACGATTCGTTAGTATTGGCCTTATTAGTGGACCGCCGCAGCCGAACAAAGCCACCGCTGGAACCGTTGCTAGCGTTAAGACTTTTGTCCGGAGACTGACCGGCGTGAAACTGCCACGAGTGAGACGTCGTGTCCAACGATGAGTCTAATTGAGTCCAATTCAGACCTTCGGATAATTGTGTGGAATTGAGTGACAAATGTTTGTCCAAATCGGATGCGGCGCTCATCTCAAAGATAGGGTTCGGCGAGCGGACGATGGGATCGACCGGCGGTTCAACCGTTGGTTTGCATTGTTTGAAACCAAACTCATTGTCTTTGACGCCAAACGCTTTCATTTGCTGTGAGTTTAACTCAATTTCTGCCATAAAATAGTTTCTCCAAAACCAAAGACACAAATCGTATAAACAGTTCAAAAGTAATACAAAACCAATGATGAGATCTATTATATTAGACACAAAATGAGTGATTAATAAAACAAACGATTGGATCAAATCAATAGACAAACGGACCCAAAGAGTAGACCAAATATATGATGAGATTTGTTGCGAAAAAACTCGCTATAAATGATAATTTACTGCAACAATAGAGCGGATCAATTAGATTACAAGACAATCGTTGCGCATATCATATATCAATCAAATGCTTACAAATCGATGGCCACTATTGAGGCGAAGAACACGTTAACAGCGGACCAAATGAGCGAATGTCGCGATTCAGTCAACAAACGTCTTCGTCTCAACACCACATCCATTGTCACCAAACCGTCGGACCTGTTGTTAAACATAACACACGTGTCGTCAGAGAATCAACGGTTAATCATATAATGATAACTTACGGCACGTTTGTTGACATGTCTGGAGTTCGCGGTTCCCAAACACTAACACTTGGTTTCCATAAACACTCAAACCGTTCACATGTTTGGCGCCATTGATTACATTGATTATCTCACATACAGTTAG